TGTCCCTCAGCTCTTCAGCTCAAGGCAAGCGCTCTACCACTTGAGCTACAGCGCCACTTCCGGTTTTCTGGTGGTTTATTGGAGATAGGAGTCTCACGATCTCTCTTGCCCGGGCTGGCTTTGAACCGAGATCCTCAGATCTCAGCCTCCTGAGTAGCTAGGATTACAGGCGTGAGCCACCAGCGCCCGGCTTCTTCTTCTTCTTTTTTTTTTATTGACAGTTGTGGGGCCTGAACTCTGGGCACTGTCCCTCAGCTCTTCAGCTCAAGGCTAGTGCTCTACCACTGAGCCACAGCACCACTTCTGGCTTTTTTCTGCTTATGTGGTGCTGAGGAATCGAACCCAGGGCCTCATGCTTGCGAGGCAAGCGCTCTACCACTGAGCCAACTTCCTAGCCCACCTTTACCTCCTTCTCTCCTTATTTAGCTTCCTTTTTCTGTGTGGTATTGGGAATGGAACTCAGGGCCTTGCATAAGTTACTAAGCATTTTACCATTGAGCTACATCCCAGCCCCTTCAGTCATTCCTCAGTCCTCACCCTCATCTTGGCCCTGGGGAACTCATATCAAAGCTGTGTACGCACCACATCACTTTTACTTGTGTAGACCCGGTCTGCAAGGCTCTCTATGGCGATCCACTTCACAGGCATCTTAGCAATGCGGCCTTGGCGGTAGTAATCGCCACTGTAAATCTTCTTGGAGAGGCCAAAGTCTGCCACACACACAGTCATGTCATCTCGCAACCTGTATGGAGAGAGTCCATGTCTTTACCCAGATCTGATGTGACTGGATGCATTCAAGATAACCAACCAAAGAAGCAAGAGCCACTGGGGACTGGAAGAGTCACTGGTCTGTGTGGAGCTGGCCTAGGAGAAGTACCCAGACACAGTGGCTGGAGACACTGGAAGGGATCAAGAGGGAGGATGGCTGGAGCGGAGGGCGTAGCAGCTCCTCCTGGATATGTCCAGGGGCCAACCTGCTTAATGTCTGGAAGTGTACTGGTCCTGTGGACTAAGGAAGTCCTTGGGGAGGTGAGGACACAAGGTCTGAGAGAGGCGAAAAAGTTCACAATGTAAGAGAGGTTGGACTTTTTGCTAAGATAGGTAGGTATTTGAGGAATTAACTGAAAACTTAAGCAAACATAATTGCGTTTACATCACAACCTATTAAAATAGACAAGAAGGGAGAAAACAAGGGGGAGGGATAGGGAGGAGGAAGAGAAAGAGGAAGAATGGGAGATAGATAACTAACTTGTCTCTGCCTCAAATTCACTTCCTTCCTTCCTTCCTTCTTTCCTTCCTCCTTCCCTCCTCTTCCTCCTTTAATTTTTTTTCGTCAGTCCCTAGGGCTTGAACTCTGGGCCTGGGCACTGTTCCTGAGCAATTCCACTCAAGGCTAGTGCTCTACTACTTGAGCCACAGCACCACTTCTGGGTTTCTGGTGGTTAATTGGAGATGAGTCTCATGGACTTTCCTGCCACAGCTGGCTTTGAACTGCAATCCTCAGATCTCAGCCTCCTGAGTAGCTAGGATTATAGGTGTGAACCACCAGTACCCAGCTCTTCTTTGATTTTTTTAAAGTGCCACTACAATTGGTCAAACTTGGGGCCTTGCATTTGCTAGGCAGGCAAGCTACTATTTGACCCACTCGAGTCATTTTTGCTTTAATTATTTTTTTCAGGCTGGCATGGATCACAAACCTCCTAGTTACACTTTCCACATAGCTGAGATGTCAGGTGTGTGCCATCACACCCTGCTTTTTATTGGTTGAGATGAGATTTCACTAACTTTTTGCCTTGAACTTCAGTCCAGGATTACAGGAGTGAGACACTGTGTCTGGCTTGTTATTGTTTTGGAATATTTATAGCAGATGATGGCTCTGCTGAAGCATGTTGAAGGGGGTAAAGTCAAGTCCGAAGTTTTCATATAATGATCACTCAGGTGCTATTCAAGGAGAGCCTCTGGATAGGCCAGGTACAGCATAACATTAGGAAAATGGAGGGATAAACATTTATGATTGTTATTAAGGTGATGTAAGCCACGATTCACCTTTGTCATACCATGTGAGTCATGATTACAAGCAGTGGGCTCACAATCTCTCTGGGTCCAAAGCTAGTTGGTGGTATAGGGAAGGGCTCAAACTGCCTAGTGCTTCTCACGTAGTACAAGGTGAAAATATCTTTTTAAAAAAGTAATCACTGAAGAGGGTTTTGGAGGCCAACCAGAACCTTGGAAGCAGAGACAGAGAAAAGTTCCAAGCAGAAAACCATACGGAATCAAGAACATGGGAATCTCCTCATAGATTACATCAGGAGAGGCCCACCACCTTGCAGGACCCCCAGAATCTTACATGCAGTTCCGAGCAGCTAAATCCCGATGGAGAAAATTCCTGTTGCTCAGATACTCCATTCCCAGGGCAATGTCCACCATGAACTTGAGTAATGTCTGCAGCGGAATGTGCTAGGGAGGTGGAGGAAACAGGAAGAAAGTTCATCTTTGAAAAGGGAAATGGAATGCTATTTCTATCTGAGGTGAAAGCATGGTATTTTTCACTAAGATGAGGGGATAAAACAAGAGATGGTATCATTCACTAAACTGCGCCTTTCATATCATTAAGCTCACAAATAGTGGTGAGCTACATAGTCCAAGCTGGCCTTGAACTCCAAATCCTCCTATCTTGGCCACCTGAGGGCTGGGATTTCAGGTGTACAATTTGACAGCAATACTACTTTTCAGAAAGAATAAAAAAAAAGAAACGAAGCTGGGCGCTGGTGGCTCACGCCTGTAATCCTAGCTACTCAGCAGGCTGAGATCTGAGGATCGCGGTTCAAAGCCAGCCCGGGCAGGAGAGACCGTGAGACTCCTATCTCTAATAAACCACTAGAAAACCGGAAGTGG